AGATTCTTAAATTTACTCGTAACTCAATTATAACATATATATATATATATATTTCTGATAGCCCGAGAATCGATTTTGTGTTATTCCGATGTAAAAAATAAATAAGAAAGAAAAATATAATGCGGGTTATATCATAGAATTCGGTGGAAATCTTTCGTACGGTTGACGAAGAGGAGAACGGTGTCATGCGGTATAAAACGTTATACGTTCCAAAGATCCGATTCCCTCTCCCTCTATCTTTATTCTTTTCTCTCTCTCTCTGTTCCTCCTCTCAGCTACTTACTGATATTTATTGCGCTCAGAAATGTGTACGGTCCTCCATAAATCTTCGCATTCACACGAAGTTTCTAATTTACATATTCTCCAGCGTGGAATCTCTCCCTCTCTTTTACCTCGCATCAGTCCTTTCTTCTTCTTCGTAGCTCCTTCCTCCTCCCCCCCCCCTCCCTCTTTCCCTCTCGCTCTTCTTACATTAGAAACACGGTCGCGAGGTGCGGTATTGGAGGATCCATCTGAACTGGAAAAAAGGATTTCCGAGAAACGGTTTTGCGCTCCGACGGAAGGATGGGACGAGAGGGAAAAAAAATCAAAAGAGTTTTCAGGTATGGAAAAATTGGGAAAGAGAGAAACGAAATCTTCGTTCGCATAGTTGGTCGAGTTAAAATCATGAAGAATATTCAACGTATGCGCGTTTTCTCGATGTAGTAGGGTGTACTTTTGAATGGTACATTAACCTCCGGCTGGCTCCCTCGGAATAGCTTGTTCAATTGCAATTATGGTATCGATCGTAACTTTGGAGCCTTCGTCCTCTCACAACTCGTTCGTTTCAGAATGGAAGAGAGGAAAATAAGATAGGAAAAAGTATCCGACTAAGCTTCAAAAAGATTTAAATCAACAAGCATTCATTAAAATATTTCTTCTGAAAATATTTAAGTACTTATTCTTCGCTCGAATATTTAATTAATTATTCAATTCAACTGATTCATCCAAGAATGAGGAATATTTTCAGAACTTGTTCGATTATACATTGGAAAATATAATAGTTTGGATCTAATAAGAGAGAATGTTATTCGTTAATGAAATGCAGTAAAATTTGTGAAAGGCATTTCTATCGCGGTATAACGCGCGGATCTAAAAATGATTCATAAATTCTCGTGAAACGACGAGAAAAGCTTATGGCCAATGAAATAATAATAACGAGATAAACGGCACGTCGGCGACGGTAGCATAGCATCTTCTTAATATAATTATAAATCACTTAAGGTGGAATCGAGACGCGACCGATTTAGTTTAGGATGTTATTAATTACTTAATTATGGGCTACGGCCAAGTATTTCCGATGACTTGCTTCCCTTATTCCTTTTTCACTTCTATAGCATGACCAATTTTATTCGAAATTTCGCTGCACCTCACCGTATCGTATCGTATCGTAGATTCGCTCGAACGATTCTTGAATGAAACGACAGGTATCTATTTATTTACACTTTCCTTTACTCCGAATTTCAATGAAACGAAATTTCCGTTCGCGAATCGGCATATAGATAGTTTATACTACTATTAGAATATATATCCAAGATTCTCTTTGGCGGACCACACGCGTTCTCGTCGTTATTCCATCCCATGAATTTCCTCCTTCCTGGGGAGTTTTAACGATAAAGCGCTACCAAGCGCTCTTGCACCAAGCGTACACTATAATTACACTAAATGCAAAATAAAGCGTAAAATACTACGTTCGAGTGGAAATTACCCAACGATTTTGCTCTCTTTACCTTCGACTTCCCTTCGGACATTCGTCTGGAACATTCGTCTCGCGATATCTACTCTATTCCTTTTTTTCTTTTATTTTTTTTTTTTTCTTTTTTCGAAAGCGTTTCTCGATGAGAAAGTCTTTAAACCACCCTTGGCCCTTAGTACTCGTCGACTGTCTTCGAAGATACCACTCTCGGTGTTGAACGAGCCGTGTGAAAACGATTATACTCGGCAAAGTCTTAACACGAGCCAGATTCATCGAGGAATTAAAACAGCACCCCCTTCTGATACGTTTTAATAAATCGTATTAGAAAACTTTAACGCGTTCTAGATGAAACGAGGAGGAAAGGATTACGAGTGAAAAGAAAGGAGGAGTAGTAAGAAGAATGACAAGGGGTATATATCGCGGCGAAAGAAGAAAGTGGAAGCGGTGGTGGCGGTGGTGGCGGGTGGTGGCGGTGGCGGGTGGAGCGTCTTTCTCGAAGAGGGCCTCGTAAAATGGAAATCAATTACATCTACACTTAACCACTTAAACTGGTTTCGCCACGGTTCTAAAGTCCGCTCTTAAGACGGGAACTACGGAAAGTACGAGAGAGAGAGAGAGAGAGAGAGAAAGATAAACTGCGTCGGTCCTTGAATGGAAAGATCGAAAAAGAGACGGAAGGAACGTGCGAAAAAGTCGATGAGCACCGCTGGGGGCTTCTCCTCTTTTCTTCCCCTCTTTCTTCTTCTTCTTCTTCTTCTTCTTCTTCTTCTTCTTCCTCCGGCTCGTCGGTCTGCGGCAAGCCGCAGATCATTCGTATCAACATAATTACAAGCTCGGGAGCCGCCTCTCTGTTTCTCTCACCTCGCTCCACCCATCTCGCGACGTAACACACGATCGCCTTCGCGCCTCTCTTACCTTCCCTTTCCACCTTTTCTTACCTTTCTTTCTACCTTCCATCCCTTTAGCCCTAGGATATCGTCTTACCTTTGAGCTAAGGTTCCCGATTCCTCCTGAAAACTTTTCTTTTTTCATCTTACTCTTATTCTATATCCTTTTGTATCTTTTCGTTCTTGCTATGCGAGAAAGTAGAGCCTGTGCATGAGCGATGCGACTTTTGGAATATCCTCTTTTTTCAAGGTCGACGATCTCTCCGAAAGAACGAACGGAATTTGTGTGTTAAAGAGAAAGAGAGAGAGAGAGATAAAGCATCAACTCTAACGAACAAAGGATAATGAGATATTTTGTTTTCTACCAATCCTATAGATATATTAATTTTTCATGAAATTGAACGATAGGTATACGCAACCGAGGAAACATTGGAAAGGTCTAAATAATTGTAAGAGAACTTTTTAGAAAGAGTAATAATAATCGCACACGGACGTGACGAGGAGACTCGACTCGGTTTTATACGTGTTGGTCGACGAAGGCGCGACTGAACGAAGCGGCGCCCTTTCTTTAAAGTGGCTGCTGCATCTAAAAATAATTGCTCGCTGACAGGCCGTGAAATGAATTTATTTAATTTCAGATTGGTGTAACAGAATTACACGGCAGTTGAAAAGGTGGCGATGAAGTCCGGTCGGTGGCCACTGGCGACGTTAACCGACCGATGGAAGAAAGGGGCCAAAGGTGGAGCTCCGCAATCGAGAACAGCTAAAAGGTAGAAAAGCCGCCTTCGAAACTCTAAGGCCGCTCCACAGAACCTCCCCCCCCCCTTCCCAAACCCTCTCCCCTCCCTCTCCCCTCTCGCCACTCATCCTCCAATCCACATTCGTCTTCGCCAAAGATTTATATCCTTTCTCTTTCTTCTCTAGCCCCGAGCCAATCTTTTTCCCCTATTCGATATGCTTTATTTTTCCACTAATCGTACCAGAGATAGCTATATACTTACGTATTTATTTATGCGAGAGACTTATTAAAGTTACTAACTTATCGCAACGACGACCGGATGATTACAAATACAAAGTTTATTAGTCGATCGTTCGGTGCGATCAGATAAACGCGTGGGATTACTTTAATCTCTCTCGTTGATCGATCAGCCACGGGAATATACCTTGCTCTCGTCGCACGTTACAAAGGGTGTGAGAGAGAATGAGAGAGAGAGAGAGATGAGTTCGTGCGTAGGTAATTACTAATTGTGAGATGAGAGGAACGATTAAACCATTAACCACCTTTTCTTTTACCACAGTAATCTCGGCCATCTCTCGATCCTCTGTATCCTTGTCCATAATTTGCGTATGAATCTTCGAAAAAATGTGTGTTTAGCTAAAAAAGAAAAAAAAACAAAAAAAAGAAAACCATTCTTAAACGTCTAACACACAAAATAATAATCATGTTTTGTTGTTGTTGTTGTTGTTACCTACCCAGGAGCGATGGAATAATAATCGCTAAGCGCTCGTACGTATCTTTAAAAAACAAAAAAAAAAACAAGAATATTACAAATCTTTAATGAAAATTCATTTTATTTGCTTTTTCTTTTTTTTGTCGATCTACATCAAGAAATACGGTGTTGAAATTATGCTCTACCATCGGAATTTATTATGTACAAATGATATCGTCTTCGAGGAAGACGCATTAATACTATCGCGGTATATGATACAACTATAAAGTCTTTCTCTCTTCCATACTCGAAGTTCACGCAATACAGACAGCCGTACATATACGCAACAAAACCCACACATTCACTCCGCACAAAGCATACAAGAATTATATCGTACAGGTCTATGTATCCTCAATATATACAAAAGTTCGACGTTTTAAACTAATATAGAAGAAATTTCTTATCGTTCGCGAAACGAAACAACGATAAATTTGTTTCCAACCTTTTCTACTATACAATAATTTTTCCTTCGAAGCGACTTAGGCGAATAAAACTCTCCATGCATTAGAATTTATTGACACTCGTCGCTTCTTTCCTTCCGTATCTATAAGATTACAAGACACACACCTATGTGAAATTACTTCTACGTAAACAAGGAATCGTTGATATATCCTGCGAAAAGTGAAACGAATAAAAGTAAAAGAACGTTATTTCTTTTTAGGTGCGCGTAAAAAAGCAATTAATTCGGAGTCTTTTTTAAGAAATTTAATATTTATTTATTAAGAATGTAATCATACATGAATTATTTATCGAAATAATTTCCTGATTATTTTCGATGACTTTGGTCGATCTTTTTAGGCAACTAACGAATTCCTTGATGAAAAAAAAAAAGACGACGATTTGTATCAAGACACCGAACTAATTGTTACAGAAAATGATATACCGTGAATGAGAATTAATTTAATGTCTTGATCGACGAAATATCGTAATATTTTTCTTCCTAGATTAAACTACAATTAACGGAAAGATAAAAACGCATTTGTTTAAAATCTAGGCAGGAATTTGCAAGTTATCCTCCCTCCATTTTCCTTTTCTATCGCAAAAACTTGGCCATGTTGTATGTTACATAGATAAGTAAGTAAACGCACAGATGCAAGGAAATAGAGAGGAAAAGCTATTAGGCTCGCTAATTGGGACTGGAGGGGCGGACGCGTAGGCTCGTGGGCGGAGGGGTCCCGCTAGGATGTGGATAGGGTGCGTACCTAAGGGCGGCAGAGGGTGGTGAGGTTCGTCGGGAGATGATAGCGACCGGCGACGGTTGCCAGGACCACCCAAGGGCAGCCGGGTAGGGAAAAGTCGCGGCCGCGGAGTGGTAGGGGGAGGGCGAGCTACTCGCAGCCCTGGTGGCAGGGTGGGTCTGCCCAACAGCGGCCCCGTAAAGAAGGGCCGAGGAGGCCCCCGCTGCCGCTGTTAACCAAGGAGCCAGAGCCGCAGCCGTCGCGTGTCCACCGTTTTCCTGCGATTGCTGCTGCTGTTGTTGCTGATGCTGGTGCGGTTGTTGCTGTTGCTGCTGTTGGGCCCCAAGGGCAGCAGCCGCCGCGGCTGCGGCTGCTGCAGCGGCTGCCGCTGCCGCCGGCGAGGACATCGCGAGATGTTCGTACAATCTCACCGGTGGTACTCCGCATCTCACCAGTTGTTGCTCCATCATCTCCATCGGATCTCTGCAAACATGTCGTTACGGCTAATCGGACTTCCTCGTTGCTTCTTATTATAATATAGCCTTTAAACAAAAGGAGAAAATTCGAGCGGAAGATGAACGCGGATAATTAGCGGGAGATTTTCTAATCGACATCCGGCGAATAGATGTAGAAAGAAAGAGAAAGAGAGACAGAGAAAAAGAAAGAGCAAGAGAGAGAGAGGGTCAGGCTCATCGCAGTAACGCGGCGTATCGTAATAACGTGATGGATGAATTCGTACGGTCTGCCTCGCAGGCATAATTAGGGTTAATTACGAGCGATTGTGCGTTCGAGCCGATCCTTCGAGCTTCGTTACGTCGCGCGCGCGCGGAAGAGTGAGAGAGAGAGAGGAAGAGGGGAAATGCTAACGAGCGGATTATTGGTACGGTCGCGAGCGGCATCGAAAACTCGTGTGCTTTTAAGTGTCGCGACCCCGCTAGCCAATGATAATTAATGTTCCGTGCTATGCTTGTGGTATTGCGAAATATCCGAATGCACCGTCATTTCCTATTTTGCTGATTATGCACGGGAGCGGCGCGTACCAACTACGATGACCAATCACGATAGGCGCCTTCTTAATTATCGCGCGACGTTTCTCTTATCGTTTTTCTTCTTTTTACGATTCGGAAAAAAAGAACGTTACGTCTCGGCACGATTTGTCTCCAGCTATAAGCGGCGAACGATCCTTTTCGAAACGAGAGAAAAGTATTTGATGCTGTTCGTGGTCTTTCAGTAGTCGAATACACGAATGAAAACTTGATACTAGAAGCTTGGACGATAATTTTAACCCGACCGGCCGACGATGATACCGCCGATCGATCATCTGCTTCCCCGAAACGCACCGTAGCGATTCTACTCGCCAGTCTGGAGATTGTCTTTCACAAACGGCGCCTGATATTTCAACGTTTCAAATCGTACGCATCTCTCGTCTCTCTCCTTTTCTCTCTCTCTATCTCTATCTTTCTCTCTCTCTCTCTCTCTCTCTCTCTCTCTCACGTACGCGCTAAGTCGTAAAGTAATTCAAAGCGAATAAAAGACAATAACGATAAACGCAGCACGATTGCGTCGAAAAGGAAAAAGATATTGCTCCGATGGAAAAAAATGTCTTGGCTATTGGATCTCTTTCTCGGTAGGAGATAAAAAAAAATCGATAACGATCGATTTTAATTCTTTGCCAGCTTGAGAAAAAGAAAAGATGAAAGAGGATTGCATCTCTCTCTCTCTCGTATGATTCGATCTTGGCGAAACGGTTATCGGCCGTTCTCCGTGTGTATGAAAGGTTAAACGAGAAGGGTTCGGTTACTCTTTGAAACGTTCGAAAAAGGCGCGAACGATCGAGACGTCAAAATAAAGAGGGTAACGAGAGCAGGCCGAGAGCTAGAAAGAAATAAATGTTGTTTGGACGACCGTGACCTCTGGTACCATTCTTCTCTTCTAGAAATTACGGTAAACGGGACCGATGAAGCAGTTTTAAAATCGTTCACAGTTGAGAATCAAGCGACGAGAAATGCTAATTCGTAAGAGAAGTAAGCGAGGAACAATGGGGTCCGGTGTGCAGTTCCTGCGTCTCGGTTACTACGCGTTGGCCTCATACTGCTTAGCATGTAACACGACACCAAGTGTAGAAGCGAGAAAGAGAGAGAGAGAGAGAGAGAAAGGCACGTTGGGCGCGCTCGACCTACATACACGCAGCAGCAACACCATCGTGTACTGTGCCACGTAAGCATGCGATTTCTGGGCCCTCGCAGCAGCTTTCGGCCCTTTGCCCAGTCACCAAGGGAAAAGGGAAAGGGATTAGGGAGCCTGCGGTTAATCGGCCCATCCCCACGTTTCGAGCGATCAGACCACACACCGACTTTGATCGTTTTCCTTCCTTCCTTCCTTCCTTACCGAAATGAGCTTTTCGCGAGTTAAGCATATTATTATTCATTGAAATAATCGACGACCTGTTTATTAATACGGTTTATAAATGTTCGCGCCGGCGTACGTTATCGAACGGCATCCATCTTAATTCGTGTTCCTTGACGAAGACATCTACGCGAATTCATTTGGTATTTTCAATCGGTATCTTTAATGTCGATCGTTCTGTAACGCATTTAAGAGCTCTATACTTTCACCTCGGTCGGAGCACCAGGTGCAAAGGATTCTTTTTCCATTTTTTTTTCTTTTTTTTCTTCTTCGCGACGAGCACAGTACGATAAACATCGTCTCGGAGATCTGGCAGGACGATACGTTTGGTAAACCAATAACGTCATCGTGTCGACACTTTGAACGCGGGAGGATAAAAGGCAGCTGACGGGATATATCTTCTTCTTCTTCCCGTCGTTGAACACGAACGAAACACGAACGAAAGAGATAAACGATACACGATCGATACGATATAGAAAGAAAATCGGGACATCTCTAACTGTCCCGGCGCGCGATTAATGATCGATTGAGGAAGAGGAAAGCAAGCACCTGTACCTATATTCGCTAAACGGAAATGACGTTGTTGGTTGGAACGTACTGTTCTGGGCCAGAGAGAACTATGCCGACTACGTACGGCGTCCTGCCTTCCGGCCTTGAATTATATCTTTAATGTTTTCATAAAGCTTCCTCATGTACGAACAATAAAAGCCCTAATTACGGTGGTTTCGTCGGGACGAAAGAGTTGCCCCCGGCTCCTCTGGCTCTATTACTATTCCCTCTATGGGCGCTCCTGTAATTGTTACACCGCAATAAATATTCCTCATCGATCTGACGAGTCTGCGTTTCCCCGTAATGGCGCGGTTACGCTCGAAACGTTCTAATTAGAGGCCACCGCCGTTACCCATTAAAATGTCCATGACGTTCGCACGGCTACACCCTTTAGGAGAGAAGGAGATAGAGAAGGAGAAAGAGAAAGAAAGGATATATTCTCGTCGCCTTCTCTTTATTATTATTATTATTATTTTTCTTCTTCTTCTTCTTATTCTTTTTCTTCTTCTTCATCTTTTTTGTCTCAAGAGCAATCCATACTCGAGTGGCTCTGATTTTCATCTACTGCTAAAAGCATTAGGTAATACGTTTTAAAGAGAGACCGACTTTTTCAAACGTTTTTTCAAACTCGAAGCGTTATGAAGGAGCGGCGGAGGGCGGAGTGTGAAAGAGTCGGCTTTGCACGGGTCGCGATATTAATGCCGAATGAATTCCATCGAGCGGGGAGCCTGTTATTCTCCGTCTACCCTGGGGCTGACACAGGGCATTAGGTAAGTGGTAGATAATAATAGGTTACACCCCACTGATGGCCGAAGGTAGTCCATCGAACGGTGCGGTTCGACTGACTCCCCTTCGCTTTCTCTCTTCGCGCACTCTACGCACGCATATAGATATCCTATCAACGGGCCGACCATCGAATCTTTTAAGGACTTGTCCTGGAGACTATCTATATGTTCCATTGACCAATCGAAAAGACTACTTTTTGCGATATTACCTGCGCGCATTGCTAAATCTTCGAATAACGTGACCCCTCTCAAGGACGATACCTAGGACGAGAGATTGGTCAAAGAATTCGAAGGAAGAATGTTTTTTCAGAGGGGCATATATATATGTATGTATACATACATATGTATATATACAGATAGACAGCTAGAAAGAGGAAGGGAGAGAGTGAAAGGGAGATGGACGAGTGTAACAGCGAAGAAATTAATAGCCATAAAATATGAATAGAAATTAGCAGGTTCGGGGTGGCGTGACGCGTTTGCTCGCTCATTTCCTTTCGGCGCGTTGAAAAACAACAAAACAACGAAAAATACGTTCGAGCCTGTAATTTACCCCGACTGCCGCCGAGCGGGCGCGCGTGTGCGCGCGCGCGCGCGCGCTCGTATGCGTAGGATCTCACACGCACGTTTGCGATCCGACTCGCGATCCACGGTTTTCTATGTATGTAAGTTGATAGCATACAGCAAAGGTATACTAATATAACCCACCGATAGCAGCAGGCTAACCGAACGTTCAAGTTAGGTGTTCCCCGCGAGCCTGTTGCTCACGGTTCAAATCGTCGTCGTCGTCGTCATAGTCGTCATCATAGTCGTCGTCATAGTCGTTGCACGGTAGGTATGGTAGGTAATGATCCGGTAATGACCCTGACGCCTTTACTTCCCACCCCACCCCTCAAAGTTGCGCGGGATGAAGCTCTCCACCTAATTCTCTCGCTCCGATTACCACTACCTGGGCATCTTTCTTCTCTCTTTCAAATACTCTTCTCTCTCTCTCTCTCTCTCTCTCTCGAGGATGCACGGCGAGACCTTTGTTTTTGCGTTTTAAACGGCGGTTATTAGGTTCGTAGCAGTCCCCTCGGTTTCATCTCTCTCTCTCTCGCTCTCTCTCTCTCTCTGTTACTCTTACCGCAAGGCTGGCTCTTTTGCTCTCTATTCATCTCGCTCTCTGGCACTTTGGTAATGGGGCCTGCTAATGGGCCGAGAAGACTTTCGAGTATCGATGTCTGTGGTGCTGCCGGTGCCGCGGTCAAAGATACACTTCTATGCCAGTAGAGGAGAGGAATAACTTGGTCGTGTGCGTAGCGAGAAAAAGGGGGGTCGGTCCACACCGTGCCTCGGCCGCGAGAACAACATCGGGATAGAAATGAAACAGAGAGAGAGAGAGAGAGAGAAAGAAAGAAAAAGAGTGTGTCCGTGTGCGAACGTTCGCGCGCGCGCCCTCCCAAAAGAAAAAAAGAAAGAGAGAAAGAGAGAGAGAGAGAGAGAGAGGACGAAAAGACGGATGGTAAGGCGGAAAGTGAGAGGAAAAGAGGGAGAGGGCCAGGAGCGGCAGCGGTAATGACAGGCCGTCCGCTCTCGAAGCTAATATAGATGAATGCCCTGCCCTCCTTGCCCTGCGGAACGAGGGAGAACGGAATCGCTCTCTTTCCCCTCCCCCTACCCCCTGCCCCCTATCTCGTCCCTCTCTTCCTCCTGGCATCTCGAGGAACGACGAAAGCTGCCCGGTGGCGGCAATGCAGGGCGAAATGGACGCGATCCATCCCTCTTTCTCTCTCTCTCTCTCTTTTACTCTTTCTACTACTCCGAGCGCATACGAGAGGGAAAGGGAAAGGGAGAGGGTCTATCTATCAGCGCCGGCGTGAAGTGGGCGGGAGCATGCGCCGTATTGCCCCGTACGGCCGGTCTCTCATTAACTCTGGACGCCGCCGGAGCCCGCGTTCGACCGAAGAGGACCGCAGAGGATCGCGGAGGGATGCTACTCGCCGGCAAAGGTAGCAGAGGTAGCCGCCAGCCTCGAGAATAACGCGTTCGTGAATGCGTTCGTGAATGCGGTTCGTGAACGCGTTCCAAATCCCGTCAGGAATTTCTTATTTCCACTCGGGATCGGGATCGGGATCGGGATCGCGGACAACGTTTAAAAACATTTTCGAGGATAAAACTTGTATTCTTCTATGACGACGACGACAACACGTAAACGGGGATCTATTCGTGCACATTGAAAATATCGAAATTGAGAGGATCATGTGAAAGCAATTTTTTTTGGTCGAATTTGAAAAGATTTTCAATATTACGTCCCGTTTTAATAATTAATTGTAACTATCCTTCGATCTTATAAAAGTTCACTCGAAATGATTAGGGTTGATCTTCTTTGATGTCGATGCACTTTTTTTTTGTTTTGTTTTTTTTTTTTTTTCTACAAGTATCCCATTAAACTCGACGTATCGCGGCTGCACGAGCGTAATCGGAAAGGGGAGATCTAAGGGCGGATGTTCGACGAATCGAGTAAAATTTTTAAATAAAATCATAAAGTCGTGAGGATAAATCGAGAATCATAATTTCGAAACGTATTGCTATCGCGCCCAGGACCCGGGGCCTCTCATTAACTCCGAATGCCGACAATGCCGAAGAATATATATATATATAGCGAAGGAAGTATCCAACTTGAGAGAAAGTCGAAACAGCAGCATCTGTTTTCTTTCCTACGGAGTTTTTGGTTACTCCTCGTATTCCGCACTTTTTAGATCCCACCTACGTAGCTATGGATTCCTTCATGATGGGAAGGGATTTTCGAGCGGCTTCGAACTGGAAAAGGTGTTCCGATCGGTCGGGGTCAACTTGTAAAAGATTCGAATGACGATGCAAGATTCGAGTGACCTCGGTTTAGGCAGGTGCTGATTTGGGGAGGGTCACGGATAACCGACAACAATCCGGGAAGAGGTCGTGCACTTTTCGATTCGGACCTACGATCGTATAATTAGATTAATATCTTGAGGTAAAAGCCGGCTTCTCGTTGGCAAACCGCGGATCTCTCGACTTGATCATTGAATGATTCGATACGTTTTTTTTGTTTTTTTTTTTGCCAAAGATCGAATTCGCCTAGATTATTTTCGACGAATACAGAAAAAAAAGATGTGATAGATAGAGAGATAGAGAGAGAGAGAGCGATGGTAACTTAATCCCTGTATCTAAATCTTTGCTGTTAGTATTTCATAATTAAGAGCGAACAAACAATTTAATTAAGATCCGCCCTTTTTCGATCGTGGCGCGCAGGTGTAGCAAGTAGCGATACTCTTGTCTGTCCTCGTCCTCGTCGTCGTCGAGAAGGTTCAATAAAAATAAAAAAAAAAAAAGGGAAGAAATGTTGGAAACGAGAGGTCGCGTTATTCGAGTTTCGATCGTAAAAAGGGGGAGGAGAAAAGTTTATCGGGTGAGCGTTATCGATTCGTGGACACGCCGTTAGTAGCGTTCTTTGTACGATTTGCATAAAACCTTGAATTGCGCTCGAGCGAGCTGCCGGCGCTGTCGTTAACAATTTAGTGGGCGTGTTTGCAATTTGCGTCGACTCGACCGGACTCCGCGTGTCCGTGCTCATTATCGCGCGAACCCTTTTTCAAAGTTCGCATCATCGCCGAGAGAAAATCGAGGACAACGCGATAAGGATAACGCGTTCTAGATGATCGAGAATAAGAGAAAAAAAAGAGTGAGAAGAATAGTACTCTAAATTATCGCCTAACTTGGCCAACGTCAAGTTAACGATCCTAAAAATCATTCAGGAAATCGATCGATCGAAAAGATAATCATGCAAAAGACGGCCAAGAAAGTGTCGGAAAATTTGTCTGATTAAAATTACCACTTAAAGTGATATAAACAGGTTATTTATAAATAAAAACTCTTTTTTTTTTTTAAAAAAAAAAAAAGCTACGTGTTCCTGTTTATACGAAACGATCGAGAGGATGGAACGCGGTTACGAGCAGGTGCGTCATCGTTCATGCAGATAGACGATCGTGGATAATATGAAATCGGTCGAGAGAGTACGCGTGCACGCTTAACTCGCGGTAAAACTATCTAACAAGCTGTCGTGCATCGTTTAACATTGTACAAATTTTGTAACTTAACCTAGAACGCGATCGATCCCTGTCTCTTTCGTTTTACAAAACTGTCTCGCAATCAGACGTTTTACGTTTACAATTAAAGCCTTTCCGAGAGATACTTTTTGTTTTCTTTTTATTTCGTTTCACGACCGATCATAATAATATGCCACGAGTTACGCGTCAAGTTAAATACGACGAATCTCGAGAGTTAATTTTATAGAAAAAAAATAAATAAAAAAAATGTCGAGACAGACAGAGAGAGAGAGAGAAATACTTATGCAACGTTCAAGGTTTAATCATAACACGATTAAGCAATATTATCGTACTCGAGATAAATTTTAATACCGACTTCAAAACGTTATCGTATAGATATTTATTTAACTTTTTTCTTCGTCTGTCGTTCAGATCAGATAGATAGATATTCTTTTAAAAATCAACCTCTTAGCACATCAAGTCTTTTGCACAAACAATAAATAAGAAAGGATTATCCTAATCGGATTCATCTTGTTTGTTATCACTCTCACTTCAAAACACGAAGTTCTCACTGTTTTTTAGGTTCAACAAGACCATCTAAAAACCTTAAGGAATGAGTTTTGGACTCTAACGGACAATGAAATCATCAATACGATTATCAGATATATCAACGATATACCGAAAATTCTCAAATCTAACAACCATCAAAGAACTGATATTAGTCTCGAGATTTCATTATCAGAATGTTTCTGACCTAAGAATGAAGTTTAGTGAAATTGAAATGTAATCTGGCAGCAATGTCTTTTAATCATGATGTTAAATTTTTTCTAAAAGAGTATTTCTAATTATGAACTTAGCTTAAAAAGCTTCAATATTTATAAACTTGATCATACAAATCTATATGTGAAGCCCATGGTAAATCTACATAAAAAGTTCTTTTGCTGATCGCTGACTGTGACATTGTTATTGTTGGCCAATCCGCGCTTATATTTAATGATAAAAATTAAGAAATCAGATGAAATGAATAGTATGTTTTTAAATGTCAATCATTATCATCGGCATTTAGATATATTTAATCAATCTATATCATCCATGAAATATTATCTTAATCATCTGTAATAATATTTATTTTGTATTATTTTTGTCAACGCGACGTTTATTTAACTCTGTATTAATGGGGGTTTTATTCCATAAAATAAATAAATAAATAAATTACTATGAGCTTGAAAAAAAGATAAAGAAAGAGAATAAGAAAGAGAGACAGAGAGAGAGAGAGAAAGAGAGAGCGAATAAGAGCAACAAGAAGGGTTCCAAGCAATTACTTGATAAATTATTACCTGCTACGCGATACGTGAGATTTCTCGATCGTAGAAGTAACGTTGCTGCTCACTTTCCTGACAGCTTTTGCGGCTCTCTTACCATACCGTTTTCAATAACTTTGCACGATAACGACACTTTATTAATTACCGGCATGCTTGCTAATCGCTCGCTTCATCTGATTTCTCGTGAAAAAATCTTATTTCGAATTTCGAATAAGTATTTTTTTTTTTTTACGTACCGATCGAAATCCGTTAACCTCGAGGAGTCTCTGAAACCCTTCGCGAACGGATTACTGTCGATCTTTAGCTTGGTGATCTGCGAGAAAAGAAATAGAAAAAAATAATTAATTTTTTGCATGGATAGATTATCAAAGTAATATAATATATAGAAAATCGGTTGATTAGTCTCGATGATCAATGCTCTCACCAGCTGATTTTGATATGCCGTGACAGCAGTGAAGATGGCTTCAGGAAAAATGAACGTTTTGTATTCTTCTTTTCGAAGATCATTGATCTGTAGATTGTTGTCATCCGTTTGTTTGCATCTGACCAAATGTATTCTAGGTTGATACTTGTGCATCGAGTTCAATACTATCTGCAATCAAAGTCAAACAAAATCTCATGTACGTATATTATATTATATAATTATTGAAATATGTGGAAATCTAAGGATACTTGAATTTTTTTTAGGGCCGCTAGTTTTATTCCATGGCATCGTCTTGGACAGAAAATCGATTTGAAATGCATCATAAGTCTTTTATCGAGCATCCTCAAGCTTCTACTTGGCTGCCTAGACGCACGTGTAAACGTACTACATGTTACGTGTGTAGACGTACGCTTGGCGCGAAGTACTCAGATACGGAAGTCAAGTTTTTACAGTTGAAACTTTAACGTCATGACATTTGCCACGGGAAAATACCGTTATTAAAGTTGTTACGTGTACGTATGGCGGTAGAGATAGCCCGGAGAACGATCGAACGCAATCGAGCACGCCTTTTTACCAACTATCGACCCGATGTGCATCCTATACCTATACCAAACACATACACCATACGTGTGCGTTATTAATCGATTTACTAATTAACCTCGCACGCGTCTATATCCTACGATATATACCTCCAACGATATTTATAGCCGGACCGACGGGAAATTAAATATTACGTTCGTATGGTACCTATCCTAAATCAAACACCTACTACAATTCTCATTTCTTATAACGAAAACTATAAGAGACGCGCACTTTTAATTTTTAACTTTTCTAGTTTTTTAAAATAACTTTTAATGGCATCCTAAGTTTTTCTCTTGTAAAAAGAAAAGTAGAGCAAAAATAACAAATTTATATGATACGATTTGATGATATTAAAAAACAAAACAAATGGAGCATTCGAATAATCGATTGATGTCACACTTTTCTTAGATTATTTTCAAACGAGAAAAATAAAGAATAAATGTTCAGGCAAAATTTTGTGATGTGTGCGTGAGTCATCTCTCTCTCTCTCTCTCTCTCTTTTTCTTTCTTTCCTCTCTCTTCCCCACCTTTCATCTTTTCCTTTCACTGTCTTTACGACGCCACGAATGCCAGTCTCCGTGCGAACGAGACTCGAAAGTCAGGGCTGGCGTGAAGGGCCCCAATACCCAAAGACTCTTCGGGCCACCTGCAGCCGTTAAGTTTCAACAGTTGTGCCACCGCAGCCGCCTCTATATTTCATATTAGCGATAATGTAGAAGAAGTCCGGCTACTGACTTTTTCTCTTTCCATTTCTTCCCATTCTCACCATCGATTTAGTTAGACACGTTATCATTATCTAGACTACATTTTCACAATTTTCACGAAGAAAAATTATTCGAACGAAATAAGACGAAGGTATTCTCGTTTACGGGGTGGTAAATATAAACGTGTGTGTTCTTGAAAGTTTCTTTGCATTTCCATCGAGATCGTTCGTGCGTGCGAGCAAAACGGTGAACGTTTCCACGGATTATCCGGATCTACCGCGAACTAGTATCAGAGTAAAATGTGAGGGCGTAATTACGCAAAGACTACGAATTATAGGTGTATTAATTAAACGGCGTACGGGTAGCGTAATCGAGCGTAACTTTATTCTATCCCTCTTTCTCAACCGTTACAACAACCTCATTGATTATAACGCTCGTAAATTCGGTCTCGGTGGTCGCTTAGAAAAGGGCTCGAAATAGTCGAGATGAGGGTCTGACAAAATGCTTAGATGTTTACATTTTCACGAGTTCCATTAAGGGACAAGATTATCTTTCTAAGATTTCTCGCATAAGCGGAAGAAACGAGGCTCGCACATAAACACCGATAAGAATCTAGAATGTAGTTCCTAATGCTGGTATGCCAGGTAAAAAAAGAACCATTGTAAGAAAATGTGAGTGAGTGAGAGAGAGAGAGAGAGAGAGAGAGATGAGACCATCTATACAGGGTGATAAAAAAAAAGGGATCCGTGATGAGTAAAAAGTGTTTAATTAATACGGATCCTAAAATAAATTTGTTCGATCTATGTACATAAATTAAATTTTATCTTGAGTCCCCTTGTAAATATATTGATTGTACACAGAGGAATTTTGCTTAGAAAAAATACTGGATGGAGATAACCTTGTAATGGTTGATATTACGTTTATCGTTTATTTTCATAATAAATTTATTTGAAACTAGTGTACTTACGTGTATAATAATACGTGATGGAAAGTAAAAGTAAGGATTGGCGTTAAGAGAAGAGGTCCACTCAATCGGTGACGGGTCGAGCAAGAAGGAAGGATCACGATCGCGATATCACGAAAAGGAATCGCTTTATGTTCTCGATTATAGTCCTTCGGAATCCCGCAGCGCATTTCTATACGTTTTCTCGGGGCGAGTTGGCACGGCAGGACATCCTACTGTAACTTGTCAGGAGTCCAATTTGCTCTACTCTGTTCGTTCTGTCGTCCCGTATAACCGTGTTGGAATCGCACGCGCGACTACGACGTCGTATTCTAAAAAAAAAATTCTCCACGTAAAAATGTTCTTTCTTCGATTTATCAGCCACGTTCTCGACTATTTTTTTTTCCCCGAGCTTCGAATTCGTATGCGCGAAATTTAATCCTACCAACGTAAAGCTCGAAGTGAACGCATATGCGATCGTGAGAACTGAATTTTCATGGTTTTTTTTTTTTTTCTATTCACACAAGAAATATTCTTGCGTTGCGTGTTTCGTCCCAAATTCTGATGAGAAAAGTTTCAACATTGAATGTGTAGAGAATAATAACGTACGTACTTATCATTATAGAATAGATCGGAGAACTGAGGTACATAGAAAAACGTGTTGCGAGCGATAATAGATTAAAAATGATTTATAAACGTTTATAAATCTCCTTGGTACGAGCAAATTCCTATCTTTCGAAAAGCTTACTCCATGTTAATTCGATCAAATAATTCACAAGAGGTGGCTACGTAAGTCACGAGTTTATCGTTCCTTAATCCACGAGATTAGGCTACATTAATCAGAAAAAAAAGAAAAAAAAAGAAGAAAGAAGGACACGATGCCGTGCGGGTTTTTCTCAATTAGTATCGCGCTAGTTTTTTCACCTCGAACGTAAGAACACTAGTAGTAGTAGTAGTAGTAGTAAGTAAGTAATAGGCACGTACTAACTTTTAAATAAACGTTTAAATACGTTACCAAACTTTACAGGAATTCTCGATTATCTTGGCGCTTTTATGCGTTAGGGATCAAAAAAAAAAAAAAAAAAAAAAAAAAAAAAAAAAAATTATAATTAAATGAATTAAAAAAAAAAAAAAAAAAAAAAGAAAAATAAGAGAAAAAAAAAAGAAACATTTAGCGAAAAGCGATAGAAATCTCGATGAGGGAGGAAAAAGAGAAATAAGATGGGCGCAGGTGAACTCTCGTTTTTGGACCACCGTGTAGTAGCCGGCACGCAGGCGGGGGTCTTATAATATCGCGTCATACGAAACGATGAAATAGCGGCCGTACCGAAGGAATGTTCTCTCTCTACCACTCGAGCCCTACACTCGGACTTGACTGGCGGTTGGGTGTTGCGTTGCGTGGTTCTCCTCGAGCTCGACTGCTTTGCTTCCCTTTTTCCTTTTTTTTTTTTTCCTTCTCTCTCTCTCTCCCTTTTACACTTACAATGGAAACGAACATTCTCGTGACTCCACGATTATCAGAAAATCTATCTGTCCTTTAGAAAAAGAAGATTCCTATTCCGGTTATCGTTATCGTCGAAATTAGAATTCTAGAGAAGAAGAGTGAGAGAGTGAGAGAGAGAGAGAGAGAGAGAGAGGAAAGTTTGGGTATCCTCGAGGATCCGAAAGAGCAAAACGCAAGGGAACGGCCTCGAGGGAGATTCAAAAGGTGGTCAACGGGGCCGGGCGTGGGCTACCCGTGATCATCATGACAAAAGCTTCGGGCAAACATCCATTCAATTTATTAGCTTATAGGCATGCCGGCGTAGTAGTACCCACTATATACCACCTACGATACCACACCACACCACACCACCGGTCGCCTATAATGATACCAACATTATGGCTGTTCCGCGAGAACCGCGTACTGACGCGACCCTCTTTCCCTCTCCCCCGTCGCTTTCCAACCCCGTCCGCACTCCGCGCGTTATTCTTCTTTCTCCCATAGAGTTACACTTTTTACGGTTAGCCTTCCACAGTCAGTGATATTTCAAGGGAACGAGCAAAGAATAGGCCTATATCCGAGTGCATTATACTCTCTTGCACCTTTCTAATTTTAAACCGGAATCGCGTAGCATCGTCTACCAATTTTTAGTAGCGCTACCGATTTTTTTTTTCCCCAGCGCACCCATCCCCCCCCCCGCCCCGATCGGTTCGACTAATTCGAATGGAAAGGAATAAGAGGTCGAGAACGAGCTCGTGTATTTTCGGTGAAATTCTTTGAACGATAATCCTAAAGAAAAATCGTTTCGCGTAAACCGTTCGACTTGAGTTGAACGCCCACGATTAACAAGGAGGCATCGAACGTGAATCGATGATAAACCGCGTCCTACGCTCTCCTTCTTTTTTTCATTCTTTTATGTGGCAATTTTTAGTATAACGGCGAGAGAAGGAAGAAGAAAACTCGTCGAAAGTGCAAGTCGAAGGAAGATCGTGAAAGACAGACAGACAGACAGACGGCACTGTAATCTTTGAGCATCGTCGTTTTTCTGGGCCGTCGTCGATGAAGACGCGTTACGTCGTTCGGTTGAAAATTATGCGACGCGTTATTCGAAGGAAAGAGAGAGAGAGAGAAAAAAAAGAAAGGAAAGGAAAGGAAAGGAAAGTCGATTTGGCAAACGATCGAATCTCGTTTCAGCGCTGTCGTTCGAGAGTAAAGGATAACGTCCCTCGTGAATCCTCTTTTCTCGTGTCCAAAGCTCGCGAGGACCGATTTTCTACTTCTCCTCTTCTATTCCTTCTTCTCGAGATTTCACGAGATCGAATGTCCACTCGTAAGGATTCAGATACGAAGGAGATACTAAACACGTTGGTTATATGAAATCTGATACTTAACGATGCCCATTGCGTTTTACGATCGAGCGCTGTTGCGTTTTGCGGATATTCTAGCAAACTGGAACGCGGATAGAATTAAAATCGTGTTGGGTACTGTTATCTCGAATATGACGATGATATCCAATATCGAACTTTTTTTTTTTCTTTCAATTTGTCGATGTTACATTCTGCGCGAAAGGAAATAAAAAAGATGATTATTCAATTAATAACTTACCTGACCATGCTTGTCCATGTCGTTGTTCGTTAATTTAACCTTCTCGAAGGAGACGACTTGTTTCGCGAGTTGATCCCCGGTAAATGGTGAATCCGGATGCACGTAAAGACGAGGGGGTGCTGGGGGATCGGCCTTTCCGGCCACAAGCCAACAGCTTCTGTGATAGGCGTATCGATACCTTTTATTGTCGACCGGCGCGATGTCCATCAGAACGGCGTAACGCCCTTCCGTTTTCAATCCTCGGAAGGATACTCGACAGGTGGGAAACATCCGTCTGTGAATCGACATAAAAATAACGTCTCTCCTTGTTAAAATTGTTCGGGAGGTATGTGTCAAAATCTTACGAAAAATAATGCAAATTTATTATTTTATCAGTTGTTTCTCTTGTCGAAAAATACAATTCTTAATAAGAAGGTATATCATAGGGATAAAAGAAACATTAGCGAAATGTATCATATAACGAACAATAACACGGTTAATTTTAGAACAGACACAACAAAAAATTTAAACAACATCTATAACGGAATTTTTTAATTTAACTATAATAAATAGAACACCGTAATAGAGGATACCTTAGCAGTGAAGATATCTAGACTAATAAACACTAGTCTAGATTGAAACAGTTCTGTTGAGTGTTCAAATTATAACGGATTAAGACTTAACGAAGTTAACGATGTTATGTGTTTTGAATATTATAAATAAAAATAAAAATGTATGTCTACTTAAAGAAAAGAGACGCTGAACTTTAAAGATTAAGGTAACATGTAATATTTTATAATGTATGGGTCTCATGTATTTCATAATATAAAAATAACAATAAAAATCAAATTTCCAGTTGCTGAAGAAGTCCCAATAAAGGGACGAAACGTCCAACTTATCAAAATTAAGTTCTACTTCTTTTTTTCATGTCCAAATTCCCTATGATACCTTCTTATTAAGAATTTTATTATTTTATATCTTATTTAAATGCATAAGTCCGAAGTCAAAATTTCATATTGATCTACTATGTCTTTTAAAAGTTATTGTAAGTTCAAATAATTATTGTTTTACATGTGAATCTTATCGGGATTCAGTCACATAACAGATGCAACATATAATACAATATCAAAAGAGTAATCAATGTCCTAAATTTTTATTTTATGTAATTTATACTCTTTTAAATTGATTTTGCACAGTTATAAACAATTCGAAAACCAAGTTCTTACTCGATAAATCAACTAGTGTATAAGAAAGTCCGGCAACACTGTACTCGGATGAGAGCTAAAAATGTGACTATAGTTTTGAATACAGTACTAGGAACAAGAATATATTTTACCTGATAGATAGAAATAAAGAAAATTCTGTGTCTTATACATATATGATACAGAGCAAAAGGATAGAACTAGTTGAAAAACAAGAGACAAATATACTGTAAAACCAACTTAAAAAATTAACAGTGTGTTGTCACATTTTCTATATTTTTCAGAACGTTAAATAATTAACATTAAATATATTTTTTATTGAAAATGATCTAAAATAAGAAATATTAAAATGTCATAATTAATATTTAAGCATTATTAATACCTCGTTATTGAAAATTAATAAAGGATTTAAATCAAAATTGTCTTAGTCGTTAAATTAAAGTCAAGGCACATTCACTGTCAAGATTTACTTACAATTTTTTCATATTATTTATCATTTCTTAATCATACGTTTTGATTCTCTATCATTAACATAATTAATTTATTTCATAAAATTCTGTAAATCATAAATATTCACGAATTTTTAATTTTCAACACTTTTATCTCCAATTTTATTCTCCCGAACACCTTTAAATCGTTCGGCTCGTAAAAAAATAGGATCGAGTGGAAGAAAAAAAAAAAAAAGAACTATCGATAACTAGTATAATATAACCTCTTTGTTTTCTGTCAAAAACGATGACCGAAAGAATCATCGGAACCGAGGATCAAAAATCTCTTTGATCGAAGGGGACATCCTTTCGTTAGGAGCGAGTGACCCCTTGAACCTTGTTAAATGCAGTCAACTTTTCAACACCTTCAACGTCGACGGGCAAGCGCGAACGCGCGCCCTTGAATATTTTTTACCGAGCCGACATCAAAGACCAAGAGATTTTATTCACAAGTATATAAACCCGATATTTCTTTCTTGCGATCGTAAAAGTGCCTTTCTCTTATCGCGCACAATCTATCGAATAATTTATTTACGTTCGATCGGCCATGATTCATATTCTCGCGTAATGTTATTACCAAAGGCTAAATCTCTGGCTAATCCTGATTGATCGATCAATTAAAGATACGTTAACGAGTATTCGAATTAGACGCGACACGAAATCATCAGCAAAATGGTTAAACGTGATTCGCGATAAAAAACAAAAAAATATTAGATTGGCTATTAAATTTAGCGTAACGTTAGATTCGACCTAGTAGCCTATTCAAGCGTGCGTAACTATCTTTTGACGATTTCAATTTATACTTATAGGTAACCGGGCAAAGTGCGGAATACCTTCGAAGGAAAAGAGAGTTGTGGGGAGGGGGGTGGATTTGATGAAAAAATGATCGGTACGCCACGGCGAACGTGTCGTGGTCGACCGATCATCTGTCCAGGGCCGTGCAATCATTCCAGATACAAGCGTGCAGAAAACTCGTGCGAGAAGCAACGGTGCCACCCGTGTTCGTTATTCAACGTGAATGGAAACGACGACGACGACGACAACGACGAGGAAGATGACGAGGAATATGACGAGAAGAGGGAGGAAGTCGACGTCAAAAACATCGAATTACCTGCTCGAGTAGATGAGGAAACTATTACGAATGTCGTCCTCGTCAATGTAGCGATCTCGCAAATAGCAATTTCCGAAGTTGCAAATTGTTCGAAAGACAACGATAAAGATATCGCTCTTTGTTCGGAACAAGAAGAGAACTTCAAATATCCAGGTGGTTGTATCGATGTTTGCACGAAAAATACCGCGATTAAGTATACTGAGAGAAGCAAAGTATTGCCAACCTCTATTACTTATCTTTTGGCTGTTTGCATTTATGCAATAGTTCATTTCATTTTCGCCGTATTTGCTTGGCGCGAATCACTCTACGAGGCTTTCATTTCGAGTCAAGTTTGCGGAATCGTTGCATTGGTTATTTATAAGATTACCGGTAGAATACCATTGTAATGAAAATTTGCGATAAATTCCGGATATAGATAGATCGTTTAGTTTGTTCTTTGATCTCGTTTGATGTTATTCGAGTCCCAGTACGTTGCCGCTCATCCTCGTTAAAGGCGAGAAACACAAAGATGAGGGACGTGCTCGATGAAAAGAAATCGTTTGAAAACGTTGAAGAAACCGCAAAGGCCGCAACCGCTTTAAAGAGAACGACCGCAAGGATGATCCTTTCGCAATCCGTGAGCGCGAAACCTTTCCCAAGTAACACGGCATCGACTCGCGTGACGAACAACTTCGCGTACGTTCCAAAGATTCCTACTTCTTCTTTACCTTTTCTTTCTGCGTATACTTGAACAATCATCTCTTTCGAAAAACATTTTTTTCCACCTCCCATTTTTATATTTCCACCTTTTGCAAAAAAAAAATAAAAAAATAAGATACATAAAAGAAAAGATGATTCGTCAAAGTAACGATAGAAACGATTAGCGAGCACTTTTTTCAACGTATCGTCGTAATATATCCTATTTACCGTTTCCATTCTCCTTTGACGTCGTCAAAATTGATTTTTCTCTTTTTGAAAGTGAGAGCAACGTATCCACCTCGGTTCATCATCGTTTAGCCCCGGCAAATTAACCGGGCGCAAAGAGAAGCTAGCTAGCTAGCTATAGCTAGCAAGCAAGCAAGCTCGATTCCATAGGCCGTGGCTAACGAGAGCATAATCGCGAGAACGGCTCGACCCTCGAAGTCGTTCGGAAAGCACCCTAAACCTTGCCAGAGTTCCTTTTCTCTCTCTTTCTCTCTTTCTCTCTCACGCGCAGGCATTCGGTCTCGCTGACGTACGCGCGTGCGGCCAGAGTCGCTTATTCACTGTCGAGAAGGATATAGCCTGGAACGGGCTCGCCAAGCAAAATAAGAAGAAGATAAAGAAGAGAAGAAAGAAGAAGAAGAAGAAGAAGAAGAAATAGGGAGTAGGGTTCGTACAAATGGATTACGGAAGCAGTGGATATTATACCGATCCGAGTGGCCATCCGACTTGCTCTTCGCTGTTTGCCGTGCTAACGACTTCTCTTGGCCCTGGCCAGGTGGTGTCGCTATTATAATTATACTTTAACCCATATCGTACCCTCTCTCTATCCTTTGCCTTCTTATTTTCTTTCTTTTTCTCTCGCACGCTTCCTTTATCTGTCCTTTTGCATCTCATCCACCTTCCGTTCTTTTTCTCTCTTTTCCGGCGGCCTTTATTTTTTTTTTCTTTCTTTTTCCTCTTCTCCTACACATACGGAAATATATATATATGTGTATAAAGAGAGAGAAAGAGAGAGAAACGCACAGTTCTCTCTCTTTCTATGTACGCTGAGACTCGTCACGCGTGTGCTGAACGCCTATGATATAGGTTGGCTGGCACCTTGATGAAGGGTTCGCGTGACGAGTACCCTCCATATCCGTTGCTATCCTCCTCCTGTCTCTCTCTCTCTCTATCTGTCTCTCTCTCTCTCTCTTTCTCTCTGTTTTGCGTCCTGACCTGCTCGTCCACACCTCCTACTATACTACTACCTCTGAGAGCGACGGAGGCTACGATTTAACGTAGGAGGAGGACCCGTACTCGATTTTTCCACCGCATACAGCCACGACTTGTTTCTCTAACAGTGCACGGAAATCTAGCTTGGGAAAGGATCTTTCGTCATTACAATATAACTACTTACTTACTTACTTACTTGTCGAAATATAATCTGTCATGGTAAATCGAAGCAAATTTTGATGCAAAGAAAAAAAGTCTCTCTCTTATTTCAAATGGTTTTTGTTTGCCAATTCGACGGTTGGTATATTCGAAAGGAATGAGAGAGAGAGAGAGGGCATCAACGTGGGAAAAAGAAAGCTTCGAAAGCATGATCCTTAAAAAGGGGAAGGGGGAGCGGCGAGTCCTGGCACCCCGTCGAGCCAGACAATTCCACCTGATTGGTCCGAATTCGTATTGTCACTCTAGGAAAGACTGACGTTTTCGTTCAACCAGGATTTCGTGGCAAGTTTCCTCCTCGGTGTTAACGACGCTATTCGTGTATCGCCCACGGTGTAATAATACTCTTGATATATCGATCGGCTCAGTCAACTTACCATGTTTCTCTGTTCTCTATATATATTTTTTAAATACCACACACACGGTAAGATCTAATGTGTTTCTTTTTCTGTACGGTAGGGTCGAAATAACATTGGATAAAAATTGTTAAAGTATCGATCCAATCTCTTGATTCGTCGTCGATTCGTATTCGCAAAGAATTCAAAGGTTAATCGAGTGCATTAATCGCAAGTTCCTAAAAGGATACGAACAAATTATGGCAAGCCGTTGAGAAGAAAAAAAAAATACTCTCCGTTTCGCGTTAAAGTATTGCTGAATTAAGTTACGATCGATTTGCAACTTTTAATCTCTCATCTATTTTTTGTGTTCCCTTACCTCGTAAAGTCTCTTTCCACGAAGGAAAACTCAATTAGGAATATACGCGTTTACGATCATCAGAAAAAAAGAGAGAGAGAGAGAGGTTAGAAAGGATCCCTCGTAAATAGCTATAAATCGTGCTGACGATCGTACCGTTAATAACGCATCGACGACGTTTATCTTGAGGATGCGTCTTTATTGATGACAAAATCGATTGATGATAATTCGAGAGCGAATAGATATATATGCATGGATTTGTAAAAAGCGTGAAAGCCGATGGCCATTCTTTGCCCGAGAAGATAATGTCCGAGTTATGGCAAAGCTAGCGTGACAAATGGAAGAAATGCGAAGAAATGCGAAACGTTTCTTTATTTCTCAACGTTCATACGTCATTTTTTCTACCGTTATCTCGTTTCTTCGTATGAATCTATTTAACGTATTTACCAGAGCTCGTACATGCTCCTATCGCCGTGAAAAATCATCCACCAGATAGAGAAACCGTACGTTCTCGTCTCGTTTTAATTAACCGAAAGTGATTATATCGTTGGAAAAGTATCCATATTTGAACGGAGAAACCAAACTCGCGCGCTCTATTATAAAAGTTGATTTTACTTAAGCAATTAAGGATTGAGATACGAGTTCGGTAAAATGTTGATAATGTTCTTTCTTATTCCTTTTTCTCCTCCGAAAGTATCCAAAGCTAAGCAGCAGTGGTTGGTAAAAGAGAGAAGAAGAGGACGACGTCGAGTTACGCTAGAGTGGATGGTCCCTCTCGGTCCGTGCACAAATATCTCATAATTCCGACGTGGTCACGCATCCTGCCGGGCCGCAGCTGCGGCCTCAACTTTATTAACATACCTATAAAAATGTGTGCCGCGCTATGTGTTGTATCCGCTAGCTCGTGCGCGAGCGTGCTCATGAGCGAACGGCATAAATGGATGCAATAAATTACATCTAAAATTCCCTTTAAATATCTCGTAAAACGTCAGTCAATGAAATCCATTAGTTCAGGTACGACTAACGCCGTACAACGGACGCGCTTCTATACTATTTTTTGTTTTGTCCAACCGTTCTCTCTCGCGTAATTCGCTCGGAAATTAAAGAGGCACGCTTCCTTCCCTCTTAGAACCTTTCAAAATGAACACGGTTTTGTTCCCTCCCCTTCGGTCAAACGTTGATTATGATAAATGAAAATTACTGTCCTCCCCGAAACTTTAGTTTCCCTATATCCTCGATGTTTTAAAATAAGGAAAAGGATGTAAACGAAGCGTGGTAACGCGTTCCTTCGTACCGTCCGGTCTTGGTGATGATCATCTCCGTCCCGAGTTCGTTGAACTTATCCCACAAATCCTTGGTCTCGAGCTGACACTCGACGTCTCGTAGCTCGTCCGAGTTGCAGCTCGTCCTTAGTCTGTGCTTTCTCTCATGATGCTCGTTGCAATTGGAAACGCCATTAGTACCCTCGTATTTCCTCGAGGAGCTTGAGGATGAGCCGGTACTGAGATCGTCCGGATGCCCATGAATAGGACCATCCTCGACGCTGCTACACTCCTCGACGTCCACGTCTACGTCGACCTCCTCGTCTTCCTCGTTGGTTGATTTTTCCGTTTCCTCGCAATTCTCAACCTCTTCCTCGACCTCGCAATTCTCGACCTCTTCCTCGACCAAGAGAGCCTCGTCCGTCACCACGGTAGCAGTCGCTACGATGTTCACCGGGGACGTTCTCGCGCCTGCAAATTAATCAAACACAAGACAAAGTTACTCTGTGTTGTAAGTAAATAAGCATTTACTGGCGATCGTCCGAGGAGAAAGAGAGAGAGAGAGAGGGAAGAGATTAAAGCAAAAGATACGCAAAACTCGAGGATAATTAATCGAATTGAGTGAACATCTGCCGCTGCTACGTAGTCGGCGCCTAATTAAACCGTCAGATTTAAAGAAAGGTACAAGAGAGTCACGTCGATACCCGCAATATGTACACAACGTTAATTGCTTCCTTTTCTCGATATCGATCCGTTCATTTGTACGATTTGGCAAATACGGTATTATGGTTCTTCCTTTCAGGCGATATCTCAAATTGGATCCGCGAATAACAGACGCGTGTGCTCGGGTGCAAAACTAACGCTAACCGACACGATACGTTTCACGACGTTGACAAATTATTTAACGTCACCGGCACCATTTCTTTTCTCTCCGACTTCCCAACAAGACACTTGAGAATATTTATTTCAGGTTCGATAAAGAAAAGGCGTCGAGCGTAGAAATGAAGACGCGCAATAGTTATCTATGGGATCGAGACGATTAAACGAGTACCGGATTATTCGGGACTTTGACCAACTCCGCGCGTATTCCCAGCAAAGGTAGTAACGGTTGCCAAAGGCAAACACGTTTTTTTATCGATGAAGAATAAGATAGAAGGACTCGATGAGGCCCGAGTTGACGCATGCACTCAGATACTATCGGAAATATAAACTTTTCTTCTTACTTACATATATAAACCCTTCGCGGCAACAGGAAGATTTAGTATCTTACTCGTATCAATTCGCTAAACGTATGAGAACTAACGAGTAGAAACGCGCGTGGCTTTATAATTTCCGGTCGAATAATTAACTCGTTAATTACAAGAGGAGTGCGTTACTCGAGCGAACCGCCCAGCCGAGTTGGCCCGTATTTTGCTCGACTTTTTCCGTATTTCTTTTCTTTTCTTCTCTTGTCTTTTTTTCTTTTTTTACACTTCAAAAGAAAAATGGATTATCTTAGAGTTAAGATCGCTAAGAATCCACGGATAAAGGTGGCATTCATTCGGACAAGTGTTTCAGATAAGAGAACGAGAAGATCCGTGGTGTTTGCAACCAAACTCGATTAGAGTCTCGACACTTTGTAAACGACGAGAAACCCGACGAGGACCGCGTAAATAATCGTATTATAATATCTAATCTCGCGGCTATGGGGAAACCAGTCTTTACATCCGGATTACACGGCTGACCGTCGACGTGGTCGAAGCAAAAGCTGCCTTGGCAGACAGCTTCCCTCGAAACCTCCGTTTTCGTTTTCTGCTTGCGCATTTTCGCACAAATTAACATTAACGCCTTGTACCAAGTCGAACGAACTATCCTTCGTTTAATCGTCCAACAATACACAAACAAATATGTTCATTCTCGATGTGAAAATCTAATCGTTTAAACCTTAATCGTAACTCGTGCGAAACTTAAACCGTTATTAGAAAAAGAGACACAATGTCATTCGCGTGGGAAGAAATCGCGGTACGGATGGTGACGGTCTGACGTCTTAACCCGTTATGAAGATCGTCCAACGACGAAATCCTTCTGTGCAAAGGTATCCATCCATTCGACGTTGCTTACCGTTCCAGGTCTCCTCCTCTTCCTCCTCCTCCTCCTCCTCCTTCATCATCTTCGTCTTATCTCTCTTTCTCTCGTGATTCTCGCGCACTTCTTCTCGTCTGGCAATCGTTTCGAAAAATATTTGAAAGCGCGCGTGCTCGTACGATGCGACGTCGTAACGAGGAGAGGAGAGGAGAGGAGAAGAGAACGAAGAGGAGAGAAGAGCGAGAGGAAACCGGTTCCTATAGTCAAATTTCGAACGATCGACTGGCTCTGCTCACACCGATACTCGCGCGCGCGCGCGCGTGCGCACTCGAGAACACCTTTTATCTTAAAGTTTGATCGTTTCGAGACGACTACCGTTTCGTAACATTTTCAACCTCTAACTTATGGTTATCCCTCTTTCATTTCTTTGGAAATTCGACTCGTCTCACTATTCTCTCAAACCCATCCATCCATATGGGCGCGTATAAGTAAGTAGTATATATTTATATCGTGTACGAAGGAAGGTTGCTAAGTATCGAGTGCGTTTTCGTCCGATATGATCTTATCTTTCCTCGATCGCCTTATGTGATACACGTACGACCAAAAGACCCAAACAACAACCCCCTTCCTAAACGTAACTCTATTTTTCCATTACATTCTTCTCGATTTTTTCGACAAAGGGTCAATATACCCTTCTTCCTTCTTCCTTCTTAGTATTCTTTTGCGAAATTATTTCCTTTTTTTTCTTTTTTTTCCAAAGAATTTCGACGACTTTTAACACAAAGGAAAACGTAGATAAGTACATACGTACCAACAATTTTCAACGTCTCTCTTTCTTTTTTTTTCTTTTTTTTTTAACTCTCTTTTTCCTTTTCTTCTTCGAGCGACTCATTACCAGAGCAGCCTGGTGCTGCTGTTGCTGTTGCTGCTGCTGCTGCTACCACCGGCACAGCCAAAGCAACTTTAGCTTTGCAAGATCGCGAGTGCGTGACACGCGGAGTGTGAGAAGGACAAGACAAAGAAGAAAAAGGGGAGAAAGAGAGAGAGAAAGAGAGAGAGAGACGGAAAGAGAGAGCGCTCACGCAACGACGTTTGAGGTGTTAATTTTAACGCTGGATCGTCCGCGAGGCAAACGTCCCCTCCCTCCACCCCATTCACTCTCTCTCTCTCTCTCTCTCTCTCTCTCTCTTTTGCACTAGCACTTGCACTTGCTTTTATCCGATTGCCGGCTGTTATTTTGACACACGCACGTAAATAGCCATCTACTCACTTATCCCACCACGTATAACTTATGGTTACATACTTTGAGAAAAGAAGAAGAATAATTTTCGATTGCTCAATAAGGAAACGGTTGCAATTCGAGAGTGAAAAGAAAAAAGAAAAAAAAATGGAAAAGGAGAAGAGGACGGTGTCGTCTTCTTCTCCGAACGACTCGAGCGCGGATGTAAAGGACTCGCGCGTTATTATTAGTTTTTCGCGTGTATTGGTGCGCGCGCGTACATACGCGCAGATGCCGAGAGCGCACGCAAAGCGCGAAACGCTCACGCGATGCGCGAAACGCGTGCACGTTACCCTTGTAACTCCCTGACGCATCCCTTCGGCGCCATTTTATTTTCCTTACAATATATAGATAGAATATAGATACACCTATATGCTACCGATTTACTAGTATTTTTCTCTGGTCTTTTCGAAAAAATGGAAAAAGAAAAAAAAAAGAAAAAAGAAACATTGGATCGATCGAAAGTAACAAAACGGACACTTGTTTCGTTGTTGAGTTCTTTGGCCGCGAGCGAGTTTGATAGGACGATTTGATACGGTCTATTCGTTTATCGCTTCCTCCATCGCGCTTAACACGTAGGTGCCGGGCATCGAAAGGTCTGTGAAGCACGCAAAACTCATGGAGCCGAGAACGTGATAATTCGTTGCGGACACGAAATCTCTATTCTTTCTCTTGGCGATTATCTTGGGCCGCGCCAACCCGCTTTCCGCCTCACCACGGCCCGCTTCCTCGATCTCAGCCTATACTTAAAGATAACCGGTTACCTTCGACGTGCCGATCAATTATCCATGCCCGTTTAACCAACTAAAACTCGCGAATCGAGGCCGCAACAAGTACACCACCACCAATACCTTCCTTATCCGCGTCGCATTTTCTCTCAAACAAAATTTTATCCTGGTTTAAGCTCCCCGACTGCTTATTCTCCTTCATCATCCTTCTTCTTTTATTCTTTTTATTTTTATCCTTCTTCGACAAAGTCCAATCGCGTGTCTGGACTATGTAAGAGATTCTACAACGTTTCAAACCGGAAGCTTTTCGAAAACGAAGAAATTAAAACTGGAAATTTCTCTTTCTCTCTCTCGTATAGGATATAGACGTTTTGCTGCTCTCGTTTATTCCATCTTTCGTACGAGGTACACATCGTGTGCCAAGAAGGTGGTCCCACGATCTTAAGGCCAGAAGAAATATGACCGAGCTACTGACGTCAGCTTCCTTTTGCCACCACCGACAGCCGACCACCCAGAATCCTGTCACCACCCGACCATTCGAAGAATGTTGTTCAAAAGGATCGACGAAGAAACGCCAAACTGTCGCATTTACGAGCTGCTCTTGCTGCTATCTAACATTTTCCTACACTTACTCTTCTTATATATCTTTTGCAGCAAACTTGCCCTAGCGATATCGAACAAATTTTACTGGACTCGTAAAACTCTAATGTCATATAAAAATGTTCATCCTTTTATCCTCTTCTTATTTTCTATGAAATATGATTAAGATGAATAGATATTCCTTTTCTTGCTCGTTCGATGATCGTAGAAGGCATCGATCGTTTCGGAATACAAAAAAAGAAAAAAAAGGATCGGGGGAGGGGTGGTTAATTTTGTTCTAGGTTCAAAATGTCTCCTTCCACTGTGTTCATCTTTGAATCTACCGGTGTTGTATTATTAATGCAGTTCTTTGTTATTAACCGGTAGCTCAATGGAATAATCTATTCGCAAGACAATGATTAGAAGCAACGTAACACAGGAACGGCAATTGCGAGAGACCCTATGAATTTAATTGCAGTAGGTATTTAATTTTTTCAACCTCTCGCCCACTCCTCGTCTAGGCTCGTCGCTTTGAGAGAAGACCGAGCGAAATGGAAGGAGTTAGGGGTTGAGGGGTAGAGAGAGAGAGAGAAAAAGAGAGAGAGAACTTGTTCCGCGGAACGATTAAGAACCTCTAGATTGCTACGAGAGAGTCCGTAATGGCGTCGTTAACTGCGCTAATGTGATTACTGGCTGAAAGCAGCGGACAAGTTCCCGTGGACAAAAACACGAGCGATCTACGCGCGCGTTCGCTGCACAGCACCGTTAACAGAAAAATATCGCCGCTACTCAGAAAATTATATGTCCGCGTCGTTCTTTTTTCTATTTCCTTTTTTTTTTTTTTTTTCTATCCTTTTTTTTACCCTAGCTCGTTTTTTTCCCTCAACGTTTCTATATTACGAAGCAACAATCCCCATTCGTCCAACCCGTCGATTTTATCGTCGACGACTTATTTTTTACACGATCGAACTCTCCTATTACGAAACGTCCACGAAAATGACTCCTACGGTAGGCACATCTATTATAAATAGATGCGTGCTCCCTTAGGCGACGTTTTTCCACGCAAATAGGAAAAAAAAGCAAATCATTATATCGATACTTCGTGCTCGAGAATAAACGAAGAGTGTTCGCGTGACGAGTTTTTCGATTTCTAATAGCCATTCCCTGTCGTCTCTGTCACCGATTGAGCATCGACAAAGAATACTAGTGCAGAGAAATAAGATACACCTATTTCTTGGTGCAAGAGACAAAGAAAGAGAGGCGAGAGAACGTTGCTCGACAAGAAACCAGTTCTCGATTGATCTTTTTACCCAGAACAATGCCGTTAAACCGTTCAATTTATCTCCAAGATTGTTTGACTTAATTAATTTCTATTGAAAGACTCGTAGCAAGTCCAAGTTAATAAATATGGTAATGATAGCTCGAAATAAGAAACAATCATTCTAAGGGGAATACTCTATAGACTCGCGCGTAAAGATTCTTTTAGTCTTCCTAAATATATAAAAGATATTACCTAGGTTGCAGAAAATTACGATGCGCTCGCTACCGTCGCCTCGACGATAATTTACGATAATTTGGAACCGATACTTCCCGTTAGAAATTACTCCCTTCAATGTTACGAGGGAAGAGAAAGCATTACACAGGATCAATTCTTTTTTTTTTGAATCCGAAAGATAAATACCGCGCGGAAGACTAGTAAATACGATAGGGGGAATAATTGTTACGAACCTACCGTGAACGAGTAGCCGCCGTCGGACGACGCAAACCTGACGCCAAAGCAGATACGACAGATTTGGAATATCGTAGAAACTCACGATGATCGAGATTCGATCCAGCGACGAATCCTTTAGTGGTAGGACACTCGAGGCTAGTCGCGGCGTTGCCGATGCCCTGCAGGTGGTAATGCCCGAAGGACGGACCCCTGGGCGCCATGATGGCCGCGATGCTAAAGTCCGTCGCCTTACCTCTCTCCCCCTTGGCAGGCATCCCTTCTCGCGCGACAACTTTCTCGCTCTTTTCTTTCGCCTTCTTCTCCTCCTCCTCCTCCTCCTCCTCCTCCTCCTCCGCCACCTCCTTTTCCTCCTTCTTCTCCTTCTCCTCCACGATCTCTTTTCTTTCTTGGAAAAATGTCTCTCAGAGAGACGCGACGATTCCCTTGCTCGACGACATGACGAGCAAACCAAAGTGCGTACGACACTGATTACGACGTTTATCTAATTTATTTTAATTTCTCGACTATTCTCACTCCCGAAATATATCTCTCTCTTGGTTCACCGAGAGAGAAAAGCACCACGAAGATGGTCGAAATAAAGCGTAAAGACGAAGAGCCGCACAACGCGTCTGCGCTACTCGACTTCCCGGACTCCACTGGCCTGGCACTCCTCCTCCCACGCGGCACCCTCTCCCCACCACTGTTGGCACCGACATTGGCTCTCAAACCCCCACCACCGTCCTCGCTTACGAGAGGCCCGGCGGCGGGAGGGGCGGCACTCGAGCGAGCAAGTGGGCGGAACCGTTCCAGCGAACGGCCGGACCCCGGTAGTCACGTGACAGCTTATAACGTTCGTTCCGAAGGCGGAGCCTCGGCGGCGCTCTCCCGCCTGTCTCTTTACAATCCGGCAAAGCCGATTGTTCAAGGCCACGCCTCGCGACGCTAGCTAACCACCTCCGGCGGAATTACCGAGCTGGCTTTCCTCCTCCTTGTCATCGTGTCGCACCCGCCACTACCTCTCTTACACCTTGGCTTCGCGCATTCGCTCAAAGGGGGCCAGGCAAAGATGCGAGGAGCATAGCGTGTCCTTTACGCGCGATATACCTGTAGGTATACCTCTATACACGGAGATGATGACGGAGACGGCGCGAAGAGGGGTCGTCGGGGAGCGGAGGAGTGCGGAGCGAAGGAGTGCGGAGCGGAGGAGTGCGGAGGTGAAACGGTGGCCGCGCGCACGACGAAAGGGAGATCGATCGACCTCCTCTCTCGTTGGATGGCCGGCGTTGGTTATACTCTACCTACCCTCTTCCTCTTATGCTCATTTACTCCCACTGCAAGGCACACGTCGACGTTGCCGTCGCGGACGGATCGACATTTCGCAACGGTCGAATCGTTGACGTTACCTACTCTCCGCGTTCCCGAATATCTACCACCGTATGTGTACTCGCTATATACGCTTGCTATGTACGCTTGCTATGTGCGCATTCGTTATGTACACACACTCTGTGTGTTCTCCTATGAGTATTGCTTCTGGCTTTACGGCAATGCCCTCAAACGTCTTACCCTCTACCACGGGAAATCGAGCCAAACTACCACTGCTACACAGACTAACCACCTATAACTCTTCCATCTTCTGCTATTTCAATTTCGCGATATTATAAATGATCGTTCGTCAACCAAATCATCATTATGAAAGAAGCAATGCAATTCTCTTCACTTCGTTGCTTCCTTTTCGCGTCTTATTTCTTCTTCTTTTTATTAAGCGTTTCCAAATAGATTAATGCGACTTTGAAATATGGCCTCTCTCTATTATTAACGAGAAGATTATCTATATTTTATTGCTTTCTACAATTTACAAATAATAACTCTTAACAAAATCGAAATTATCCTTTTTTCCGTCGTCTGATCATTTCAACGTGAAATTCATCAACATTTCTAAAGAAAATATATGGGAAGTGCGTTGAAATTTTCAAGGGACGAAAAAGTTTGTTCGGTAATAAAAGATGGACCGTTAGGAAGGTGATCGATCGAGTTTTGTAGATATGTAAGTAAGTATACGAGTATATCCATAGCTATCCAGAAGTGTCTTGATCAATCGAGAGGAAGAATAATAAGAATCAGTAGAAGAACGCGTAACATTTGAGGTTGCTTTACAAGGGAAGTCGAATATGCTCGGGAGAGTGAGAGAAAAAAAAAGAAAGAAAGAAAGAGATAGATAGATAGATAGATAGATAGAGAAAGATAGGGAGAAGGAGAGAAACAGAGGTAGAAGATTTACGGCGTGTGTTTAGGCACTTAAGGCTAGCTTATACCCTCTTTTGCTCAGCGTTTCCTCTTTATTATACTAATTTCTCGGTCATGTCAAAATAGCTATCGTGTGTAGCTGTGGGCCTTCTGAATTCTATTCGACACGCTGGGTGCCCCCGTAGTTGAGCGCATAAAGGGTCTTCTCTCGTAGAGAAAATATGAAGCTTCCTTTTCTCCGTTTCTTTTCTTTCCTCTTTTTTCTTCCACGCTACGCTCTTTTTCTATCTTGTCATTTCAGGTAGCCGAGAGTATACGAGACAAGGCGAGAGAAAGAGAAAGAGAGAGAGAGAGAGGGAAAAATAAGACGAGTTTTACGTTGAGTATTTCGACTGCAGAAAACGAGCCAAGCCTCGAGACCCCCCGTTTAGTTTGGTATTCGAACGTCTTTTAAAACCCAACGAGGATACTTCGCCGTGTCAACGTCGCTTTTTCGAATTCTAGCCTGCCGACGGCAAAATTCGTGTTTCACTGAACTCACGCGAAATGGTTTTCGTTTCCAACCCCTCCTCTCTTTCTCTCTTTTTCTAACTTTCAAAGCCCGTAACGACGTCGATTATCCGGCACGCGTTTCCTTTCAAGATAGAGAGCTGGGATGCGTGAGCTCTTCTTTTCTCCCCCTCTTTCCCTCACCCTCTCTCACTCACTCATTCTCTCTCTCTCTCTCTCTTTTTATCTTTTATATCGACTCGCGATCGCAAGTGTTAGGAGGAGAGTTTGGAGATACGTTCGCGTTGCCAGCAGCAACGGCAGTGGCATCGACAGGGGCTGCTCGGATGCAAATTGCGCGCCATTGTGCTGTGAAAAAAAAGCGAGAGAGAGAGAGAGAGAGAGAGAGAGAGAATGGAAGAGAGAAAAGGAAGGAAGGAAGAGAGAAAAGGGACGCGAACAGATGGAATCGAGAAGGAAGAGGAGAAAGAGGCTGGACGGTCCTCCTCCGTACCGTCCCTCCTAGTTGGACGATGGAGGAGGCGCACGCATGCGACGAAGCAGCGGGGAAGAAACCGAGTCATTCATCATCGAGCTCGCGCGAGCGCGCGAACGAAAGAGAGAGAAAGAGTGGCAAAGGAAGTTTGGAGGAATGAGTCTGGAAGCGGTAGGCCACCCACGCGGAACGTTCGAGATCGCTGACTAGCCAGCAAGGGCATCTCGACGAGTCTACTAACACTCGGAGTATCTTTTCGAGCTTTGTGAAAAATATCGATCCATCTAGCAACAAGCAGGGGGAGGGATCGAAAGCTAATGACGTTATCCGATGAGTATACGAATCTCGTAGAAGATTTAGCCGGTCCGGCCTCTTGTCACCGGTTAAGAATTAATACACGCGCGTAATCCTCACTCACTTTCATTCTCTCTCTCTCTCTCTCTCTCTCTCTTTCTCTCACTGAATGTATCGCTTTGCTTGACCGAATGGACGTGAATGGAGCTTCGACGGTGTCATCTCGAGCGTAGCTGAAAAATACAAATTCGAGCTATAGTTCATACTTAATGCCGAGATTATAAAGAGGACGTTAATGCGGTAGGTAAAGGAACTGCTGGCTCGTCGCTCGTTCGTTCGTTCGCTCGCTCACTCGCTCGTCCATTATGGCTACCAAAGAAGCGGTTTCAAGAAGTAGCACGGTGAGTAGTGTGGCGTAGAGAGATGCGAGGTAATAAGCGCGAGAGCATGACAGAGAAGAAGCTAGACGGTGACTATAGGTGCAACGATGTGCGTCGTGTGTGGACCTAGATAAGCATCGTGTATCGCTTAATACCACCGAGTAGTATCCGATGTAGCTGCCAAGACAGGTAGACGCAGAAACATAGGCGTCGCTTTGACAATCTTTATCTAAAAATTTTCGATTGGCTTTAAAATTTGAAGAGGATACGAATATCGTATCCTAAAATTGTACCGATATTACTTCAATTTTGTTTACATCTATTTCGTCATGATACTCCGTAATAAAGTTTTCTTAAATCAGGTGGATTCTGAGGAATCCGTTAAATCGTCGCGCGCCTATGGGGAGCAGCATCGTCGTCGATGTGCAAGGGCAACGGGACGAATCCGAAGAAAGGCCGAGACCTTTATATAGTGGCTATTGCTGGTGTCGCGTCTCGCGTTAGCAACAGCAAGAACGGCAGCAGCAGCGACGGTAGCAAGACGGCACCGGGTGTAGGTGTAGAATATACGAGGCGCCCGTTTAGCCGGAGGCTCGAGAAAGGGCCGGGGATCCACGCGCATCGCGCTAACGCACTTTTAACTCGCTTCTCTCTCTCTCTCTTTTTGCCCCTCTCCGTGTTCCTCTCCCTTGCGCGCCCACCTACCTACGCGAATCTCCACTATGGCTGGCCACATGCAGCGAGGGTGTCTGGTGACACATTACTTTACCTAGTCCCTTCCGAACGAGTCTTCCACAATTTTCATTTTCTTTTTTCCTGTCCTTCTCCGCGCACGATGCATCTCGAGTTACGTTTCGTAATTAGGATCTCCCGTATCGATTACCGATCGCGAGATAAATCAATTTCGAATTAGCCCAACAAAGTATGAAGATACTAGCGAGATTATTAAAAGTATCTTTTATAATAGAGTCTGGCCAATTTCGAAAAGGAAAAAGCGATGGAAATGCAGCTAAGAAAAACTTCAACGATCGGAGACACGGGTTATCGATAAGTAAGAATCAGATATTCAAGAGATGATGGCTCAGCACTTTTCTTTCTTGGTCTATTCGGAACATCCTGTCGATCTTATCTCTATCCAGTAATCCTCCTTCGTTTCCTCTCGTTCATCGAGCCATGTTCTTTCCGCATCTCTTTTACGCAGTTACGATAGGAAAAATTGGAACTTTTTAAACAACCGGTGGCTCGTGTTTGCTTGAAAATAATGAACGATAATATAAATTAAAACGATTATTTAGATACAAAACTAACGACGCATAAGGTTTCTCATGTTGGGAAGACGATCGTGCGTGTGCGCGGCTCGTATGAGTTATTCATGGGATACGTAGTCCTCGATCTTACACCCTAC